CCCCGGGGGAGGCGTCCTCCCGGGGGGGGCGTCCTCCGGGGGGAGGCGTCCCCGGGGGAGGTGTCCTCCGGGGGGGGGGCGTCCTCTGGGGGGGGCGTCCTCTGTCTTTGAGACTCGTGGGCGTCCAGTTTGGACTCAGAGTTTTCAGACTCTTGTGTATTTTGTTCTTTCTTGTTTTGTTTATATTGTATAAAATTTATTAAAACTCACTTTTTTAATGAACTGATGTGATTTTTGTTTGTAAAGAAAAGAAACTTAGAACCTCTCACATCCCCTCATCCCCTCATCCCCCCGTCCCCCTCGTCAGAGACAGAGAGGAGGAGGAGGAGGAGGAGGAGGTGAAGAAAACACAAACTAAAAACTTTTGTGTAAAAAGTTTATTTCTGTACAAATTCACATTTTACAATCAGAACTAAACCAGGTCTGGTCCGGGTCTGGTCCGGGTCTGGTCCGGGTCTGGTCCGGGTCGGGTCAGGAGGCTGTGATAGTCTCGGTGCTTCTGGTTCCTCGTCAGGGGGGTTTGTGTCTGAACGTCTCTGAGAAAAACTCTGGACCTGGATCCTCCAAAGACCAACGAGACCCACCAGCCCTGAGAGCCACAGCACAGAACCTGAGAGCAGAGGAACCGGGTCAGGACCGGGTCTGGACCGGGACTGGACCGGGTCAGGACCGGGACTGGACCGGGTCAGGACCGGGTCTGGGTGTGGTACCTGTGTGATGTAGAGGGCGGCTCCGGTCGGTCCCTGGGGTCCAGACGGCGACAGGAGCCGGAGCGACGCTACGAGAACCGCTGAAGAAGAAGAAGAGACGGATCAGAGACCGAATGTCTCCCCCTACCCCCGCCCCTCCACCCCCGCCCCCCTAACCCCGCCCCCTCCACCCCCCGCCCCCTCCACCCCCGCCCCCTTGTCACATGACCCACCTGGGCTCCAGCAGCAGAAGAAGACGAGCGGGTACAGCACCGTCCTTCGGTCCATGTCCCGGAGCAGCGCCCTCTGCTGGACACTCACGAACCCTCCACACGACACGAGCCGACGCAGCAAAGCGCGGGATCGAACCAGCAACCCCTGACACACACCGGCACGTCAGACCGTAGGTCTGCACCAGGTCTGGGTTGGACCTGGATCAGTCCTGGTCTGGACCCGGTCTAGTCCTGGTCTAGTCCTGGTCTAGTCCTGGTCTAGTCCTGGTCTTTACCGTGATCCCGGCGAGCGTGAGCAGGAAGCTGCAGAGGAGGGCGGAGCTACAGTAGGCCTGGAGCAGACGACAGGCTCTGATTGGCTGTTGGTGCTGTGATGTCACAAACAGGGCACCGGCGTCCAGGAGCAAACACCTGCCACACGAGACAAACCTGATCTGAGCGCGCTCAGAAACAGCACCTGTCACACCTGCCACACCTGTGTCACCTGTCACACCTGTGTCACCTGCCACACCTGTCACCTGCCACACCTGTCTCACCTGCCACACCTGTCACCTGCCACACCTGTCTCACCTGTCACACCTGTCTCACCTGCCACACCTGTCACACCTGTTTCACCTGTCACACTTGTCTCACCTGCCACACCTGTCTCACCTGTCACACCTGTCACACCTGCCACACCTGTCTCACCTGCCACACCTGTGTCACCTCACCTGTGTCACCTGCACACCTGTCTCACCTGCCACACCTGTCACCTGTCACACCTGTGTCACCTGCCACACCTGTCACCTGCCACACCTGTCTCACCTGCCACACCTGTGTCACCTGTCACACCTGTCACACCTGTCTCACCTGCCACACCTGTCACACCTGTCACACCTGTGTCACCTGCCCACACCTGTCACACCTGTCTCACCTGTGTCACCTGCCACACCTGTCTCACCTGTCACACCTGTCACACCTGTCTCACCTGTCTGGCCCACACCTGTCACACCTGTCACACCTGTGTCACCTGCCACACCTGTCACCTGCCACACCTGTCTCACCTGCCACACCTGTCTCACCTGCCACACCTGTGTCACCTGTCACACCTGTGTCACCTGTCACACCTGTGTCACCTGTCACACCTGTGTCACCTGTCACACCTGTGTCACCTGTCACACCTGTCACACCTGTCTCACCTGCTGCACCTGTCACACCTGTCACACCTGTGTCACCTGTCACACCTGTCACACCTGTCGCACCTGTGTCACCTGCCACACCTGTCTCACCTGTCACACCTGTCACACCTGTCTCACCTGCCACACCTGTCACACCTGTCACACCTGTGTCACCTGTCACACCTGTGTCACCTGCCACACCTGTCACCTGCCACACCTGTCTCACCTGCCACACCTGTGTCACCTGTCACACCTGTGTCACCTGCCACACCTGTCACCTGCCACACCTGTGTCACCTGCCACACCTGTCTCACCTGTCACACCTGTCTCACCTGCCACACCTGTCACACCTGTTTCACCTGTCACACTTGTCTCACCTGCCACACCTGTCTCACCTGTCACACCTGCCACACCTGCCACACCTGTCTCACCTGTCACACCTGTCACACCTGTCTCTCCTGTCACACCTGCCTCACCTGTCAGGGGCGGTGGTGTTGGTCTGACAGGTGCTGTGCTCTGATTGGACGAACAGTGGAGTCGTCAGGAGAACAGGAACCAGACTGAAAAAGAACAAAAGAGAAAAGAAACAAAACAAGACTTAAACGACTGAGGAGAAACGACTGAGGAGAAACGACTGAGGAGAAACGACTGAGGAGAAACTGAGGAGGAACGACTGAGGAGAAACGACTGAGGAGAAACGACTGAGGAGAAACGTCTGAGGAGAAACGTCTGGGGAGAAACGTCTGAGGAGGAAACGACTGAGGAGAAACGACTGAGGAGAAACGACTGAGGAGGAACGACTGAGGAGGAACGACTGAGGAGAAACGACTGAGGAGAAACGACTGAGGAGAAACGACTGAGGAGGAACGACTGAGGAGAAACGACTGAGGAGAAACGACTGAGGAGAAACGTCTGAGGAGAAACGTCTGAGGAGAAACGTCTGAGGAGAAACGACTGAGGAGAAACGACTGAGGAGAAACGTCTGAGGAGAAACGACTGAGGAGAAACGTCTGAGGAGGAACGACTGAGGAGAAACGACTGAGGAGAAACGTCTGAGGAGAAACGTCTGAGGAGAAACGTCTGTTAAAGAGACTGACCCACAGAGCAGAACCTCCTTCTTCCGTCTGGAGTCGACTCTGCTGGAAACCTGCAAGAACAAAACACATGAACCGAGGGAACTAAAGCAGCAGGTGCAGGTGGCAGGTGCAGTGGCAGGTGCAGTGGCAGGTGCAGTGGCAGGTGCAGTGGCAGGTGCAGTGGCAGGTGCAGTGGCAGGTGCAGTGGCAGGTGCAGTGGCAGGTGCGGTGGCAGGTGCAGTGGCAGGTGCAGTGGCAGGTGTAGTGTCAGGTTGCAGTGGCAGGTGCAGTGCAGTGGCAGGTGTAGTGGCAGGTGCAGTGGCAGGTGCAGTGGCAGGTGCAGTGGCAGGTGCAGTGGCAGGTGCGGTGGCAGGTGCAGGTGGTGGCAGGTGTGGCAGGTGTAGTGGCAGGTGGCAGTGGCAGGTGCGGTGGCAGGTGCGGTGGCAGGTGCAGTGGCAGGTGCAGTGGCAGGTGCGGTGGCAGGTGCGGTGGCAGGTGCGTGTGTTACCTGTCCCTGGGCTCCGCTGAGGCGGCAGGTGAACTGGGCTCTGATGGAAACAAACTGAGTCCAGACGAAATTCAGAGAAAAAAAGAAACAACTGAAAAAGAAAATCTGAAACAGAAAACAGAAACTGAACCAGGACTAAACCAGGACTAGACCAGGACTAGACCAGGACTAAACCAGGACTAGACCAGGACTAAACCAGGACTAGACCAGGACTAGACCAGGACTAGACCAGGACTAGACCAGGACTAAACCAGGACTAAAACCAGGACTAAACCAGGACTACACCAGACTAAACCAGGACTAAACCAGGACTAGAGCAGGACTAGACCTAGACCAGGACTAGGACCAGGACTAAACCAGGACTAAACCAGGACTAGACCAGGACTAGACCAGGACTAGACCAGGACTAAACCAGGACTAAACCAGGACCAGGACTAGACCAGGACTAAACCAGGACTAAAACCAGGACTAACCAGGACTAAACCAGGACTAGACCAGGACGAGACCAGGACTAAAAGACCAGGACTAACCAGGACTAACCAGGACTAGACCAGGACTAGGACCAGACCAGGACTAGACCAGGACTAGACCAGGACTAAACCAGGACTAGACCAGGACTAAACCAGGACTAAACCAGGACTAAACCAGGACTAACCAGGACTAAACCAGGACCAGGAGACCAGGACTAAACCAGGACTAAGACCAGGACTAGACCAGGACTAGACCAGGACTCAGGACTAGGACCAGACCAGGACTAAACCAGGACTAAACCAGGACTAGGACCAGGACCAGGACTAAACCAGGACTAAACCAGGACTGAACCAGGACTAGACCAGGACTAAACCAGGACTAAACCAGGACCAGGACTAACCAGGACTAAACCAGGACTAGACCAGGACCAGGACTAAACCAGGACTAAACCAGGACTAAACCAGGACTAAACCAGGACTAAGACCAGGACTAAACCAGGACTAAACCAGGACTAGACCAGAAACCAGGACTAGACCAGGACTAGACCAGGACTAAACCAGGACTAGACCAGGACTAGACCAGGACTAAACCAGGACTAGACCAGGACTGAACCAGGACTAGACCAGGACTAAACCAGGACTAAACCAGGACTAGACCAGGACTAGACCGGGACTAAACCAGGTCTGGATCTTGTTTTTGAGTTAAACGCTTCGTTGGACCAAAACAAAAGAACCGGGTCAAACTGTCAACACTGATTTAAAACAACCCAGACCTGACCCACATCCAAGACCTGGTTCAGACCTGGTTTAGACCTGGTTTAGACCTGGTTTAGACCTGCTTTATTCCTGGTTTAGACCTGGTTTAGTCCTGGTTTAGACCTGGTTTAGTCCTGGTTTAGACCTGGTTTAGACCTGGTTTAGACCTGGTTTAGTCCTGGTTTAGACCTGGTTTAGTCCTGGTTTAGACCTGGTTTAGTCCTGGTTTAGTCCTGGTTTAGTCCTGGTTTAGACCTGGTTTAGACCTGGTTTAGTCCTGGTTTAGACCTGGTTTAGACCTGGTTTGGTCCTGGTTTAGACCTGCTTTAGTCCTGGTTTAGTCCTGGTTTGGTCCTGGTTTAGTCCTGGTTTAGACCTGGTTTAGACCTGGTTTGGTCCTGGTTTAGACCTGCTTTAGTCCTGGTTTAGTCCTGGTTTGGTCCTGGTTTAGACCTGGTTTAGACCTGGTTTAGACCTGGTTTAGTCCTGGTTTGGTCCTGGTTTGGTCCTGGTTTGGTCCTGGTTTAGACCTGGTTTAGACCTGGTTTAGATCTGGTTTAGTCCTGGTTTAGACCTGGTTTAGACCTGGTTTAGACCTGCTTTAGTCCAGGTTTAGTCCTGGTTTGGTCCTGGTTTGGTCCTGGTTTAGACCTGGTTTAGACCTGGTTTAGTCCTGGTTTGGTCCTGGTTTGGTCCTGGTTTAGACCTGGTTTGGTCCTGGTTTGGTCCTGGTTTAGACCTGGTTTGGTCCTGGTTTGGTCCTGGTTTGGTCCTGGTTTGGTCCTGGTTTAGACCTGGTTTAGACCTGGTTTAGACCTGGTTTAGACCTGCTTTAGTCCTGGTTTAGTCCTGGTTTAGTCCTGGTTTAGTCCTGGTTTGGTCCTGGTTTAGACCTGGTTTGGTCCTGGTTTGGTCCTGGTTTAGACCTGGTTTAGTCCTGGTTTAGACCTGGTTTTGGTTTGGTCCTGGTTTGGTCCTGGTTTGGTCTCTTGTGGTGGAACCTGAAGCAGAAGTGAGTTTTATTTTGAAAAACCCGACTTCCTGTTTAGTGTCGGTTTGAAAAATGATGTGAAACTTCAAAACCTCGGGGAGATTTTTATAGACGAAAATTTCCAAAAATAAAACAGCAGAATTTAAAAATGTGAAACTGGTGCTTCCCCCAAAGGCACAAAGAGTCTGGAGTTTAGAGTGAAACACGCTCCTGCTTCAGGTCCCTCAGGTCCTTCAGGTCACCACAGGGTTTCTGAACCGTCCGTGTTGTGCTGAATATCTCAAATCTACGGAAGCCAAGAGGGTCACAACAAATACAAAAGCCACAACACATTAAAAAGCCACAACAGAAGTGAGGGCAGGACTCTATTTTCCGACGGACCGATCGAGCAGCAAGTGAAGAAGAAGAACTACAACGTGAAACGAATAACGATAAAACAATAAATTACTTTTACTTATGTTTCCAACTTCTCCGTTCCTTTACTTTTCACGTTATAGTTCTTCTTCTTCACTTGACGCTCGATCGGTCCGTCGGAAAATAGAGTCCTGCCCTCACTTCTGTTGTGGCTTTTTAATGTGTTGTGGCTTTTGTATTTGTTGCGGCGTCTGTGTTTGTTGTGACCCTCACGGCTTCTGTAGAATCAGATTAAAAAGTTGTTATTATATAATGTATAATCTGAATCACTGACGTTCTTTCACTAAATAAACACAGAAACATTTACCGTAAATTCCAGACTATAAACCTTTTTCTCACTCTGAATCCTGCGGCGAAACTACAGACTCTTTGTTTGGCGCATCGTCCGTTTATATTTACGGTTTATGTTTGAACTAATCAACAACCGACAACACCTGAGTTTTCCTGGTTTCCTCAGTGACGCAAAACAAAACAACATTACCCAGAATTCACCTGTTCAAGGGGGCGGAGCCACGAGCAGCCGTCAAACACGACGGACGCCACGAGCCACAAGAGCGACACAAGAAGAAGAGAAGCACAGAGCCACAGCACCGGAACCGACTGAGGACAGAGACCAGGACAGACCGGGTTTAGACCGGGTTTAGACCTGGTTCAGTCCGGGTTTAGTCCTGGTTTAGTCCTGGTTTAGTCCTGGTTCAGTCCTGGTTTAGTCCTGGTTCAGTCTGAGTTTAGTCCTGGTTCAGTCCTGGTTTAGTCCTGGTTCAGTCTGAGTTTAGTCCTGGTTCAGTCCTGGTTCAGTCCGGGTTTAGTCCTGGTTTAGTCCTGGTTTAGTTCGGGTTTAGTCCAGGTTTAGTCCTGGTTCAGTCCTGGTTCAGTCTGAGTTTAGTCCTGGTTTAGTCCTGGTTTAGTTCAGGTTTAGTCCTGGTTTAGTCCTGGTTCAGTCCGGGTTTAGTCCTGGTTTAGTCCTGGTTTAGTTCAGGTTTAGTTCAGGTTTAGTCCTGGTTCAGTCCTGGTTCAGTCCGGGTTTAGTCCTGGTTTAGTCCTGGTTCAGTCCGGGTTTAGTCCTGGTTTAGTCCTGGTTTAGTTCAGGTTTAGTTCAGGTTTAGTCCTGGTTCAGTCCGGGTTTAGTCCTGGTTTAGTCCGGGTTTAGTCCTGGTTTAGTCCTGGTTCAGTCCGGGTTTAGTCCGGGTTTAGTCCTGGTTTAGTTCTGGTTTAGTTCAGGTTTAGTTCAGGTTTAGTTCAGGTTTAGTCCTGGTTTAGTCCTGGTTTAGTCCTGGTTTAGTCCTGGTTTAGTCCTGGTTAGTCCTGGTTTAGTCCTGGTTTAGTCCTGGTTTAGTCCTGGTTCAGACCTCAGTCCGGAGTCTCTGGGACGTCACACAGACGATGATGGAGCTCGACCCAAAAACACTGCAACAAACAAACAGTCGACATCAGACCAGGACCGGGACCAGATCTGAGCCTGGTCCTGGTCTGGTCCTGGTCTGGTCCTGGTCTGGTCCTGGTCTGGTCCTGGTCTGGTCCTGGTCTAAAGTCGACCACAGTTTTATTTTTACATCATCAGTTTGTTAAAGATGAAAAGTTCTGACCTGAGACACGACGCAGTGAACTGGGTCCATCTCAGCGCCACAGAAACCTACAACAAAACCAAGACTGAGACCTGATCTAGTCCTGGTCCTGATCATGGTCCTGGTCCTGATCCTAGTCCTGGTCCTGATCATGGTCCTGGTCCTGATCCTAGTCCTGGTCCTGATCACGGTCCTGGTCCTGATCCTAGTCCTGGTCCTGATCATGGTCCTGGTCCTGATCCTAGTCCTGGTCTAAACATGAAGACCATCAGATCTCATCTGTACCAGACTGACCAGACCAGGACCAAACACATCAGGTCCTGGTTCAGTCCTGGTTCAGTCCTGGTTCAGTCCTGGTACCAGACCAGGTCTAAACACATCGGGGTTGAGCTGAGACCAGAGACGAGGACAAGACGAGGAGGAGAAAAGGAGAAAGTAAATGATGAAGTGAAAAAACAAAAAATCCCCCCCAAAAAACAGGTGTTTCCAAAAGTTGTTTTAGAAAGTGAAAAGCTCTGCAGAACTAAACCAGGACTAAACCAGGACTAAACCAGGACTAAACCAGGACTAAACCAGGACTAAACCAGGACTAAACCAGAACTAAACCAGGACTAAACCAGGACTAAACCAGAACTAAACCAGAACTAAACCAGGACTAAACCAGGACTAAAACAAGACTAAACCAGGACTAAACCAGGACTAAACCAAGACTAAACCAGAACTAAACCAGGACTAAACCAGGACTAAACCAGAACTAAACCAGGGACTAAACCAGGACTAAACCAGAACTAAACCAGGACTAAACCAGGAACTAAACCAGGACTAAACCAGAACTAAACCAGGACTAAACCAGAACTAAACCAGGACTAAACCAGACTAACCAGGACTAAACCAGGACTAAACCAGGACTAAACCAGGACTAAACCAGAACTAAACCAGGACTAAACCAGACTAAACCAGGACTAAACCAGGACTAAACCAGAACTAAACCAGGACTAAACCAGGACTAAACCAGGACTAAACCAGAACTAAACCAGGACTAAACCAGAACTAAACCAGAACTAAACCAGGACTAAACCAGAACTAAACCAGGACTAAACCAGGACTAAACCAGAACTAAACCAGGACTAAACCAGAACTAAACCAGGACTAAACCAGGACTAAACCAGGACTAAACCAGGACTAAACCAGGACTAAACCAGGAACTAAACCAGAACTAAACCAGGACTAAACCAGGAACTAAACCAGGACTAAACCAGAACTAAACCAGGAGGACTAAACCAGGACTAAACCAGAACTTAAACCAGGACTAAACCAGAGGACTAAACCAGAACTAAACCAGGACTAAACCAGAACTAAACCAGAACTAAACCAGGAACTAAACCAGAACTAAACCAGGACTAAACCAGGACTCAACCAGAATTAAACTAGGACTTTTTTTTCAGTTTCAGTCTGACACCTGCAGGGTAAATATTTTTACAGACACAGTTTTGTTTTTGCAGTTTCATTTTTTGATCCGGATCCAAACCTCGGACTGAAATAAAAATATATTTGTGTAAAACTCAAACTGACCTGAGTCCAGTCCTGCTCCGCGCTCGAGTTCAGCTTCACTCCGGCCCACATCACGCAAAAAACTAAGAAGAACAAAAAATAAAAACGTTTCCTAAAAATAAAATCCACAAAAACCCGAAGCTCGAGTCCGAGTCTGAAAACCAGGAGCGTTTCCTTTGACTCCGCTTCAGGATTCAGCAAAAAGTTGAACCTTTTTAAACGCGCTTCACTGTGACTGGAGACGCACGCAGGGTCCAGACCACGCCCCCTCTGCAGAGAACCACGCCCCTTCTGCAGAGAACCACGCCCCTTCTGCAGAGAACCACGCCCCCTCTGCAGAGAACCACGCCCCCTCTGCAGAGAACCACGCCCCCTCTGCAGAGAACCACGCCCCTTCTGCAGAGAACCACGCCCCCTGTGCAGAGAACCACGCCCCTTCTGCAGATAACCACGCCCCTTCTATAGATAACCACGCCCCTTCTGCAGATAACCCCGCCCACTGACCTCTCTTACGCTTAAGATTTAGATAAAATGATTGATTCACAAATAATAATAATAATAATAATAATAATAATATCAAAATATAAATTGTAAGATACATTTCAAATAATTACAAAAAAGACACGTGTGAAATAAAACATAATTATATAAATGTAAATGTACAAGTCAAAATAGAAAAAAATATATAAATAATAAAAAATACAAATAAAATTAAAAACAAAAACAAAAATAAAACATTTTCATATAAGAGGCTTCTCTGTGACATAAAGGTGAGATGTACAATTGTAGGGAGTATTATCTGTCCCTATAGTCTGCTGCAGTGGGTCTGTGCACCAGTGTCACCAAGACGCCCAGAACTGCACCTGCGACAGGTAAAACTCACCTGTCATTAAAGAGAGCACCTGTCGTTGGTCGTTTAGAACTGGTCCAGACCTGGTTTAGTCCTGGTTTAGTTCTGGTTTAGTCCTGGTTTAGTCCTGGTTTAGTTCTGGTCTGGTTCTGGTTTAGTTCTGGTCTGGTTCTGGTTCAGTTCTGGTTTAGTCCTGGTCTGGTCCTGGTTTAGTCCTGGTTTAGTCCGGGTTTACTTCTGGTCTGGTTCTGGTTCAGTTCTGGTTCAGTCCTGGTTTAGTCCTGGTTTAGTCCTGGTCTGGTCCTGGTTTAGTCCTGGTCTGGTTCTGGTTCAGTTCTGGTTTAGTTCTGGTTTAGTCCTGGTCTGGTCCTGGTTTAGTCCTGGTCTGGTTCTGGTTCAGTTCTGGTTTAGTCCTGGTCTGCTCCTGGTTTAGTCTGGTTGGTCTGGTTTAGTCCTGGTCTGGTCTGGTTTAGTCTGGTCTGGTCTGGTTTAGTTCTGGTTTAGTCCTGGTTTAGTCGTCCTGGTCCTGGTCCTGGTCTGGTCCTGGTTTTAGTCCTGGTTCTGGTCCTGGTTTGTTTAGTCCTGGTTTAGTCCTGGTTTAGTCCTGGTCTGGTCCTGGTTTAGTCTGGTCTGGTCCTGGTTTAGTTCTGGTTTAGTCTGGTCCTGGTTTAGTCCTGGTTCTGGTCCTGGTTTAGTCCTGGTCTGGTCCTGGTTTAGTCCTGGTCTGGTTCCTGGTTTCTGGTTCTGGTTTAGTCCTGGTCCTGGTCTGGTCTGGTTTAGTCCTGGGTCTGGTCCTGGTTTAGTCCTGGTCTGGTCCTGGTTTAGTCCTGGTCCTGGTCCTGGTCCTGGGTCTGGTTTTAGTCCTGGTCTGGTCTGGTTTCTGTCCTGGTTTAGTCCTGGTTTAGTCCTGGTCTGGTCTGGTCTGGTTTAGTCCTGGTCCTGGTCCTGGTCTGGTCCTGGTTTAGTCCTGTTTAGTCCTGGTCCTGGTTTAGTCTGGTCTGGTCCTGGTTTAGTCCTGGTTTAGTCCTGGTCTGGTCCTGGTTTAGTCCTGGTCTGGTCCTGGTTTAGTCCAGGTTTACTTCTGGTCTGGTTCTGGTTCAGTTCTGGTTCAGTTCTGGTTTAGTCCTGGTTTAGTCCTGGTCTGGTCCTGGTTTAGTCCTGGTCTGGTCCTGGTTTGGTCCTGGTTTTAGTCCTGGTTTAGTCCTGGTCTGGTCCTGGTTTAGTCCTGGTTTAGTCCTGGTCTGGTTCTGGTTCTGGTGCTCTGTGTCTCCGGGGCTCCAGGGGGCGCTGTTCCGTTTCTCTCGCCGCAGCAGACGCACTTCCGCCCGGGCCCGGAGTCCTTCACCTGACGCTTCAGTGTCGCGCTGCGTTTCTGTTTCTGCGGCTTCGTGCGGAGACATGCGGGAATAAACACGCACACACACGCACACACACGCACACACACGCACGCACACGCACGCGCACGCACGCGCACGCAGCAGCAGAGGACACGTGACCCGGACCCGCGCGTTTGGCTCAGGTAAATGTGCGGTTTGTGAGAGATTAGCACCGGAGCTAAAACCCAAACATCACAGAAACTAAACATGTTCTGATGTTCAGATGTTCAGAGTTTTAAACTGTTTCACTCCGGGTTTGGTGTAAATAAAAATAAAAAACTCTCAGTGAGTTTAATCTGAGACTAAAAACAGAAGAATTAAACAAACACGATTCATGCTCCTCTGTTTAGTCCAGGTTTAGTTCTGGTTTAGTCCTGGTTTAGACCTGGTTTAGTCCTGGTTTAGTCCTGGTTTAGTCCTGGTTTAGACCTGGTTTAGTCCTGGTTTAGTCCTGGTTTAGTCCTGGTTTAGTCCTGGTTTAGTCCTGGTTTAGACCTGGTTTACTTCTGGTTTAGTCCTGGTTTAGTCCTGGTTTAAACCTGGTTTAGACCTGGTTTAGACCTGGTTTAGACCTGGTTTAGTTCTGGTTTAGTTCTGGTTTCTAAAGATCACTTGGTTCATGGATGTTTTTTCCTGCTCTGATTTCTTCAGGTTTGTTCGTCTGTAAATGTTCTAATAAAGTTTTATCCAGAGTTTGAGCTCAAATCAAACTCGACCCAGACTCAAGATTAAACCTGAGAACCAAGAACCTGAGAACCAAGAACCTGAGAACCAAGAACCTGAGGATCAAGAACCTGAGGAATCAAGAACCTGAGGATCAAGAACCTGAGGATCAAGAACCTGAGAACCAAGAACCTGAGAACCAAGAACCTGAGAACCAAGAACCTGAGAACCAAGAACCTGAGAACCAAGAACCTGAGGAGCTGAGCAGAAGGTCGAGTGTCAGGGTCTGACCTTTGTGTTTAAGTCTGGATCTGATCTGTTTCAGGATGATGTCACTGCTGAAGCTGAGGCCTGTGCTGACCTCACTGACCTCTGTGACCTCTGTGACCTCTGTGACCTCTGTGACCTCGCTGCTCTCAGGTCAGTCCTGTCTCTGACCTTTGACCTGACGCTGCAGTTTCTGAAAAAAATCAAATTCACATTAGATTTGGAAAATGTTTTAAATGATGTGAACGTGTCCAGACTCCACGACCCAGACACACGTGTGTGAACGTGTCCAGACTCCACGACCCAGACACACGTGTGTGAACGTGTCCAGACTCCACGACCCAGACACACGTGTGTGAACGTGTCCAGACTCCACGACCCAGACACACGTGTGTGAACGTGTCCAGACTCCACGACCCAGACACACGTGTGTGAACGTGTCCAGACTCCACGACCCAGACACACGTATGTGAACGTGTCCAGACTCCACGACCCAGACACACGTATGTGAACGTGTCCAGACTCCACGACCCAGACACACGTGTGTGAACGTGTCCAGACTCCACGACCCAGACACACGTATGTGAACGTGTCCAGACTCCACGACCCAGACACACGTATGTGAACATGTCCAGACTCCACGACCCAGACACACGTATGTGAACATGTCCAGACTCCACGACCCAGACACACGTATGTGAACATGTCCAGACTCCACGACCCAGACACACGTATGTGAACATGTCCAGACTCCACGACCCAGACACACGTGTGTGAACTTTAAACTCCACCGACTACAGGGAGGGACCTGACACACACACGAGGGCACCTGACACACACGGGGAGGGACCTGACACACACGAGGGCACCTGACACACATGGGGAGGGACCTGACACACACGGGGAGGGACCTGACACACACGAGGAGGGACCTGACACACACGAGGAGGGACCTGACACACACGAGGAGGGACCTGACACACACGAGGAGGGACCTGACACACACGAGGAGGGACCTGACACACACGAGGAGGGACCTGACACACACGAGGAGGGACCTGACACACACGAGGAGGGACCTGACACACACGAGGAGGGACCTGACACATCTTTGTAAACATTACATATTCTTGTGATGCATTTTAAATATTTTTATGATTTTTATTTTTTATTTATTTTAATTTTTTGTGTGAGTTTGTTCTGTTTTTGTCACCGTGACACAAAATCACTTCTTCATTTTTCTAATAAATATTTTATTTGAATTATTTCCAAATCTGATGAACATGTGGCAGATCATTTCTGTAAAAAACTCATGAGTCACACTTGTTACATTCTGTTTTTTAAAATATATTTTCTAGAAACACAATGTTTTTCTTTTTATATTTTGCCTGACCAAAGGTAAATTTAAATGAAACGTTTTGAGTTTCTGTAGGAAAATATCAAATCCAAGAGACTCGAGGACGTCAGACTCAGACTTTCACCAGTTTTTGAGGTTTTATTTTTATGAAAAACCTGAACTTGAAACAGTTAAAAAGTGGTTCTGTGTTTGATTCCAGCTGAATGTTTCCTGTGTGTTTTGTCTCTCAGTTTCCCATCATGCCTCGCTGCCGTCCCTGGCGTCTCGCGCGGCGATGGCGACTCTGAACCAGATGCACCGAGCGGGCAGACCCCAGCGCCCGCCGCCCGCGCCCGGCGCCACCTTCAGCCGCCCGCAGCTCAAAGCCGTCGTGCTCAAAACCATGATCCGAAAACCCAAGAAACCCAACTCTGCCAACAGGAAGTGCGCCCGCGTCCGCCTCTCCAACGGGAAGGAGGCGGTGGCCTTCATCCCCGGGGAGGGACACAACCTGCAGGAGCACAACGTGGTCCTGGTCCAAGGAGGACGGACCCAGGACCTGCCCGGGGTCCGGCTCACTGTGGTCAGGGGCAAGTACGACTGCGCCCACGTCGTCAAGAAGAAGCACTGACACTGGGACGGGTTTGGGACACGGTCTGGACCCGGTTTAGACCCGGTCTGGACCAGTCTGGACCCGGTTTAGACCCGGTCTGGACCCGGTTTAGACCTGGGTTTGGACCCAGTTTGGACCCGGTTTTGGACCTGGTTTGGACCTGGTTTTGGACCTGGGTTGGACCTGGTTTTGGACCTGGGTTGGACCTGGTTTTGGACTTGGTTTGGACCTGGTTTTGGGTCTGCAGACACTGGTGGACTGCGGTGACTCTTCAGTATAAAACTGTAAACGAGCGAAGGTCAGACTCTGACTCTGATCTTCTGTTTTATGTTTTACACGTTTGTGAAATTGTCTGAAATATTCCCCAAATATATTGAAAAAAAAAAACTTGAGTCTTTCTGATTATTTCTCCTGGTCTGGTCCAGACTCTGGTCCAGACTCTGGTCCAGACTCTGGTCCAGACCCTGAGGCGCCTGTGTCCTTTTGTCCTTTTGTCCTTTTGTCCTTTGGTCCTTTTCCTTCCTAAATCATCAGGACTGGTTCATCTGGACCTGGGGCAGTGTCTCCCTCTGGTGGCACAAATGTGTAACAGCAGAACTTGAATAAAAGTTTTCTTTCATGTTTTATTACCTCAGCCAAGGAGGTTATGTTTTTGCCGGCGTTTGTTTGTTTGTTTGTTGTTGTTTGTTTGTTTGTCTGTTTGTTTGTTTGTCTGTTTGTTTGTCTTGTTTGTTTGTTTGTTTGTTTGTTTGTCTGTTTGTTTGTTTGTCTGTTTGTTTGTTTGTTTGTTTGTCTGTTTGTTTGTTTGTCTGTTTGTTTGTTTGTTTGTCTGTTTGTTTGTTTGTCTGTTAGCAACATAACTCAAAAAGTTATGGACCGATTTGGATGAAATTTTCAGGATTTGTTGGAAATGTGAAAAGGAAGAACTGATTTCATTTTGGGGTTGATCCGGAAGAAATCCTGGATTCTGGATCACTTTTAAATTTTAGTTAACATTGTGGTAAATGGGGCCAAAAATTTTGTTTCTCAATATCTCGATTAATTATTGACCAAACCCCATGAAATGTGACTCAGGGATGGACAATGGGATCCTCTTTCATATTCCAAACTCTGATCCAGAAGACGGATTTTATCGCAATGTATATAAAAAATGGGTTTAGTCCTTGGCGGAGGTCTGCGCTCTCTGCTTTTCTAGTTTTTTATTTAGTTGTTTTGTTGTTTTCTTGGACTGATTCTGCACAACAGACGATAAATGTTCTTTTCTAAAACTCCAGACGTCAGTAGAACTTTTACACCAGCAACTTTTTTATCATATTTCACTTCTCAGAGAAACTTTGACTCTGACTTTGTGACATTTAACCTGAGCAGCCGGACTCTGCGTTTGTTTATTTATTTCTTTGTTTATTTATTTATTTATTTGTAAAAGGACGACACAGTTTAATGAACATTTAAAGTGTAAATATGTAAAGATTAAAGCAGCGAAGATCATCTCCATCACCAAGACCCTCCATTTCAACTACAAAGATCTACAAAAGTACAACAACAAACACACAAACACACAAACAAACAAACACACACAACACACAACTATACACTCAAACACACACAACACACACAACACACAACACACATTTACACACACAGGATGTTCCACAGACCTTCAGCGGGAAACGTCCGACTGCTGTGTGAAACATCTTTACACTTCGACTCTCGTGAGTGTTTCTGATCTGTGTGAAAGTCACATCGTCACATCCCTGAACTCTGTGTTTGTGTTTGTCTCGTCTGCAGGAGTCACAACAAACACAAACGACGCAACAAATACAAAAGCCACAACACAAACGTAAAAGCCACAAGCGTCAAGTGAAGAAGAACTACAACATGAAAAGTAAAGGAACGGAGAAGTTGGAAACGTAAGTAAAAGTAATTTATTGTTTTATCGTTATTCGTTTCACGTTGTAGTTCTTCTTCTTCACTTGCTGCTTGATCGGTCCGACGGAAAATAGAGTCCTGCCCTCACTTCTGTTGTGGCTTTTGAATGTGTTGTGGCTTTTGAATGTGTTGTGGCTTTTGTATTTGTTACGGCGTTTGTGTTTGTTGTGACCCTGTCGGCTTCTGTAGACGTCTGGACTCTGTGTTTGTCAGAGCAGTGCCTCCAGTTAGCATCACAACCCTTTAGAATGAAATAAAACAATCCAACGCACAATTACAACTTTTATTTTTCATGACAGATTCACAGAGGAACACTGCTCCCTACAGACCGACAGGTGAACACTGCTCCCTACAGACCGACAGGGGAACACTGCTCCCTACAGACCGACAGGTGAACACTGCTCCCTACAGACCGACAGGTGAACACTGCTCCCTACAGACCACTGAACACTGCTCCTACGACAGGGGAACACTGCTCCCTACAGACCGACAGGGGAACACTGCTCCCTACAGACCGACAGGGGAACACTGCTCCCTACAGACCGACAGGGGAACACTGCTCCCTACAGACTCACAGGGGGAAGAGCAGGAAGCCGCTGAAGGTGCTGTGGTGGTTGGGAGTTGTCCCAGATGTGCGTCTGGTGCCAGAGGGACCATCTTGAGCGTGTCTCCCTTGTCCAGCAGCAGGGCGGCGCCGTTGGAGCCGTGTCGCTCCGCTCGGGACCCGAGCTGCTGTGAGCGGATGAGCTCGTCGGGCGCCGTTCCGGTACAACACGGCCATGGAAACTCGTCCGTTCGCCGCACCGCACACACAACCACGCACGAACCGGGCGCACAACATCACACACCTGACGCACAAACACAACATCACACACTGACGCTCACAACACACAACATCACACACCTGACGCACACACACAACATCACAACTGACACACACACACCTGACGCGCAAACACACAACACACACACACTGACGCACAAAACACACATACACACCTGACCAACAAACAAACATCACACACGCCTGACGCACACACACACACACACCTGGACAACATCACACACCTGACGCACAACATCACACACCTGACGCACAAACACACAACATCACACACCTGACGCACAACATCACACACCTGACGCACAAACACACAACATCACACACCTGACGCACACCTGACACCACACACAACATCACACACCTGACGCACTGACACAACATCACACACCTCACCTGACGACACAAACAACACACAACATCACACACACCTGTACACAACATCAACACTGACACACACACACACACCTGACGATCACAAACACACACACGCACCTGGATCACACACCTGACACACACACCACACAACATCACACAACCTGTGACGTCACAACACACTGGGGCACACACCTGACGCACAAACACACAACCATCACACAACACTGTCCACAACACACAATCACACACCCATGGACGCACAAAACACACAACTGTCATCACACACCTCATCACGCACACAAACACACAAACAGGGTCACACACCTGAGCACTGGGTGCACACCAGTCAACATGCACTGCACCTGTCTGGTGCACAAGTCACACATGGGGTCATCACTGTCACCTGTCTGCACAAACACAACATCGGGGTGCACACCTGTCCTGCACACAACACCGGTGTCAGGTGTACAAACTGTGGTCAGTTCAGTCTGGGTGCACCTGTCTGTCTGGGTCAGTCAGGGCACCTGTCCAGGGTCAGTTCTGGGCAGGTGCACCTGTCTGGGTCAGGTGTGCATGTGGTCAGGGTGTCTGGTGTCTCTGCACCATGGGTCCTGGTCAGGGTGGGTTGTCCGGGTGGGTCACCCTGTCCACGCACACAAAGGGTCACTGGGAATCTGTGTCATGCACCTGTTTCTGTTTTCCTAGGAGTGGGGGAAGGCGATTTGGTTGAGACTGGTTTCATCAGTCCCTTTTTCCTGAAGCCCAGTCCTGGTTCGGTCTGGTTTCAGGAGGTTAGTCCTGGTTTAGTCCTGGTTTAGTCCTGGTTCAGTCCTGGTTTGTCCTGGTTTAGTCCCTGGTTAGTCCTGGTTTCAGTCCTGGTTTAGTCCTGGTTTAGTCCTGGTTGGTCCTGGTTTCAGTCCTGGTTAGTCCTGGTTTAGTCCTGGTTTCATCCTGGTTTAGTCCTGGTTTCAGTCCTGGTTTCGGTCCTGGTTGAGTCCTGGTTTAGTCCTGGTTTAGTCCTGGTTTAGTCCTGGTTTAGTCCTGGTTTAGTCCTGGTTTAGTCCTGGTTCAGACCTGTTACGTCCTTCAGGGTTTGTTCTGTGGCGTTGAGTCTCTGTTGAAGCTCTGAAACACAAACAGTGTCAGAGGTTTATGTCCTTCAGACGTGTGCGCAGATGTTTGGACGTCACATTAGATCAGTGTTTCTCAGACTATGTGCTGTGTGGAAATGATGGAGTTTACATCTAGACCTGGAGCAGGTCTGCTTTAGACCTGCTTTAGACCTGCTTTAGACCTGCTTTATTCTCAGATTAGACCAGGACTAGTCCTGTTATAGACCTGGTTTAGATCTGGTGGTGGGACAGATGTTGTGGGTCTTACCCTGGTTCTCCTGCTGGAGCACAGAGAGTGAAGCCTGCAGCTCCTTCAGCTCAGAGTCCAGGTCTGTCTGTGGAGGCTCATCCACCCTGTCAACAACAACAACGACAAGAGAGTTTAAATCAGAGCTGTTCTCCAAACTGTTCTTCTCAAATGTTTCTCCAGGTTCTGGTCCTTTCTTCTCTGACTCTGAAATGTGTGAAGAATCCCTCAGTCGTTCAGGTAGAATCATGTCGAGAAGAAAATTCAGTTTGTCGACTGGACAAAAGTGAGTTTGGTTGAAGACGTTGCTCAGTTCGTCCAAGCTGCTTCCTCAGTTCTGTCAGACTCTGGTGACTCTTCCTTCTATCTGCAGGAGGAGCTAACTACACTGAAACTCCTCTGGAACTAACACACACTTTAGGTGTGGAAGCTCCATTATGGACATGAACTGTTCTGTTCATTAGACCCACACCCTGTACAGGTCAACAGACCCAACTAACAAACACAAACTGTAAACAAGTGTGTGTTAGTTCCAGAGGAGTTTCAGTGTAGTTAGCTCCTCCTGCAGATAGAAGGAAGAGTCACCAGAGTCTGACAGAACTGAAGAAGCAGCTTGGACGAACTGAGCAACGTCTTCAACCAAACTCACTTTTGTCCAGTCGACAAACTGAATTTTCTCCTCGACAAAGACTGAAGTTTATTTGGACTGATTCAGGTTTGAAGAAACTTTAATCTTTTATTTTCAAGTCACAATTTTATTGCTCTTCTCCTGTTTACGCTACACACGCGCCCACCGGGACACGCCCACCGGGACACGCCCACCGGGACACGCCCACCGGGACACGCCCACTTGGACGCTCGTCCTTCTCCAGTCTGATGTTCTTCATGTGTGATACTCGTAGCATTGTTCAGCGTCGTGTTGTTTTGGATCAAATGTAAAAAAAACTCTGCTCTAGTGCAGCAGGAGGAGAGACCACA